TAGAAACACTCTCCTCAACCTTGTGGACAGTCTTCCCAGAAGAGTTGAAGCTGTAATAGCTGCAAAAGGTGGACCGACATCATATTGAACTCTGGGTTAGGAATGGAATGGCACTTCAGTTCATAGTAGGAGTCAAGGCAGGTGAGCCAATACTTTTGGTAATATAGTGTATGTGCACAAGTGTTTGTGTGTAGCGTGTGCACATGTGCTCCAGTTTGTGTAGGATGTGTGTGTGTACCCAGGGCTGAAAGCCGACTTGAGGAGGAGTGGCCTGTTGCTGCAGTGAGCTCTGCTGTTGCATCAGGGGAATCTCATCAGTGGCCTGTAAAAACAAGGTAACTGGTTGTCATGTGAACACACACCGGCAGTCAATGTCTCATGGGTAAAATCCTCCAGATCATAAAGATATTAAAGGTTATCCCTGTGGTCCATGATTTTCTTCCACACCAAGGTTTATAGAGAAAGTTATAGCCATGGACCAAAGCTAATTTAAAAATTGGTAAGGGAAGATGGACAACCAACCAGATCGGTCGTGCCCTGGGTTACCATAATTTCCGGACTATTGAGCGCACCTGAATATAGGCACCTGAATAAAAAAAATAATTCTACATATAGAAGCCGCACTTCTCTATAAGCCGCATGTGTAACATGGGATATTTACACATATCCGGACTATTGAGCGCACCTGAATGTAGGCACCTGAACCATGCCTGTAACACAGCTGGTTACACGTTAGCTCTTTCCTACTTTGGCGCCCCGACTGTAGTTGGAATGCACAAGGGAGACTTAGTGATCCGCTCCAGGGCCAAAGCTAACATTAGCTCCGAGGCTAACTCCCTTCACTTTGTGCTTGTCCGAGCACAACAGAACATAAAGTGTATAACCAACTCGCGCTTCAGCATGACAGGCCTCCAACTGCTCTCAACTTTCACGACCGCTCTCTCTCTCGTCCACGCCCCACACACATACGCACACAGCCATTTACAGACAGACATACGCTACTAGTGTAACACAGTTGTCTAACAGAAAAGTCATTGATCGCCATCTTCATCCTTCTCCTGCGCACTCAAACCACTAAAGTCATCTTCTTCAGTGGTGAAATTGAACAGAACCTCAGAATTGCTACATCACACACTTTCTTAGTCTCTCGTTCACTGACGCTCTCAATGTCACTTTCGTCACCAGGCCAATTCGCACTTGAGCTCGTGTTGTCGTTTTTTTCAGCCTTTTGAAACCCATTGAAACCCCTGATAGTGGGGTTTTTGACTCCGCTCCATGCTGAGACTCAGGCTCCACTGGCAGACTTTGTGGCCAGTTTTGGTAAATGATTTCTCGCCGCTAGTCATCCAAGCCTCCCACTTAACTCTGAGTGGCATAAAAATCCATAAATTAGCCGCATCGTTGTTTAAGCCGCAGGGTTCAAAGCGTGTGAAAAAAGTAGCGGCTTATAGTCCGGAAATGACGGAATAACAATGACAGTCTGTGGTGCTGTTGACCAACAGGCTGTCGGTGGAAGACCAGACCATCATGGGAAAGTAACTTTGAGTGTAGGGACAATTACTGGTCTAGGTACAGATCTTCTTGTACCGGTAGAGGTCAGAGGTCATGACGGAGAGAAGAAGGATAAATATGTTGGGTACAGAAGACCAGATGAAAGGAAAGTGAGGTGAGACACATTGGAGATGCGGAAAGCGTTGGGATCATGGAGCTTCAGACCAAGTCATTAGCCTGATGTTGGACATCCATCAGGAGAGAAAGAGCAATTCTGATGACATGGTAGATAAGAAGAAAGTAGTGTTTGGACGGAGGACATGATGGTGATGATGATGGTAATGAGGAGGAGATGAGGGACAAGACAGGGACAATATACGAGGAGACATGAAGGTAGATCATCTGCTGAGCAGAGCAGCCAAGAAGACAGCACACAGCTGCAGTGTTCTTTCTGTTTATAGGCCTGCATCCAGATTTCTCAGCGTCACAAACTGACCACAATCTGTAATTCTGTTCCATGGACTTTGGTTAAAGAAGTGTGAGTGACTAAAAGAAAATAAAGAGATTGGATGGGTTGGTTTGACATTGGTTGGGATTATTATTAGTAATCTACGGTACAGAGAGTGGACAGAGCCATCAGCTATCCAGAAAGCTGAGGAACTTCCTAGCTTCCTTGCTTCGTAGTCCTCATTTATTTCCTACTTTCCATCTTCCTGACCATCCTACATCCTACACTGTTCCATTGTCTAAGTGTTTTTAATGTTTAATTTCATCCGTAGCGCTATTGTTTCCTAAAGTTAGTTTTTCCTGGTTGCTAGCTGTTTAGATTTTTCTTCCTTCTGCCCAAATGAGATTTTTTCTTCCCTCCCTAGTTTTAGCCACTGCAGTCACCTAGACTCCTCGAGACTCACCGTGACCTTAAAGGGACTGTGCGGGATGTTCTCCCCTCCAAATCTGACATGGATGATGTAGTCACCGGGGGTCTCAGCAACATAGAAAATGTCAAAGGTTCCGTCTTCGTTGTCCAGAATCTTGGTCTCCATCTCACCGCCATCAGGTGGAATCACCACACAGCTCACTTTTCCTCTGCCTGCCTCCTTGGCATTTACCACCAGACCCAGTTCCTCTCCAATGGCTACCATGGGACTCACACCAGGACCTTTGCTCAGAGAGAGAAAAGAACTTTGTTAGTCCTTGAGAAGGTTGGTAATTAACAAACACCACTTCCATGGTCCGAGTCCAGATTCAGGTCCCCTTTTTATCTGGGGCCTGGTGTGCTAAACATGCGTAGATTTCATCATGAAAAAGGGTGTATGCAAAAAAAATCCAGAAACTGTCATGGGTACGTGGGTAGTAAATCCAAGTATGTTTCGTTTGTACATACCAATCAGCATGTAATCGAGCGCAAGTACGTTTCGTTTGTACATACCAATCAGCGTGTAATCGAGCGCCTACAGTATTTGGGATTTCCATACCATGTCCCTACATACATATGCAAATATATTTAAATGAACAATCTGTACTGATAGTCTCATACCAGTGACTGTGCACTTGCTGGCGTCTCCGGTGGGCATTGCACGGACCTTATAGGGCGAGGCAGGGATGTCGTGGCCTCCGTACTTAATGGCAATAGTGTATTGGCCAATACAATCCGGAACATAAGAAACCTGGTGAGTTCTGTCTCCACTTTCCCGGATGCTGGGCTGCTTGATGTTTCCGGCCTGGTCCTGAGAACGTAATGTTTACAAATAACATATTAATGGAGGAAACACCCACACTGCAGCTTTTTCCTACCACAGTGAGGCTGATAGTAATACAAAAACCTGAAAAAACATACAAAAGCCTCATTAACCCTCGGTTAAAACTAGACAAAACTGACTTTTTATGTTTTATACCTTTAAATAGCATGTTATATTTTTTAAAAGTTTTTACTTCCACTTACTTCACTGTATAGTCCTTTATATTGTATAGAGTAGCATAGGACTGTCCCTGATTTTTTTTCCTGCCCTAGTCTCTCAAGTGACTGAACCAGCCACTAGGGTACACTAGGGTACACAAGCAAGTGCTATTATAGTGATACTATAGTGCTGGTCCCAAGCCTGGATAAATGGTGAGGGTTGCGTCAGGAAGGGCATCCGGCGTAAAACTTTTAGCCAAATCAAATATGCGGATCACTAAAACGATTTCCACTAACACTCTGAATGTAGGTACAATGACAGGGAAAAGTAGAGAACTCGCTGATATGATGGAAAGAAGAAGAGTAGACAGGTTGAGCAGGAGACCAGGTGGATTGGAGGAGGCTACAAACTGTTCTATCATGGTTCAGATGGGAAGAGAAATGGAGCAGGGGTGATCCGAGATCCGAGAGGTGAAACGAGAGTCAGACAGGTTGATGTGTGTGAAGGTAGAAATAGGAGTGATGATTAATGTTGTTAGTGGTTATGCCCCACAGGTGGGCTGTGAGTTGGAAGAAAAGGAGAAGTTCTGGAAGGAGCTGGATTGGGTGGTAGAGAGTGGTGATTGGAGCAGACCTAAATGGTCATGTAGAGGAAGGGAACAGAGGAGATGAGAAAATGATGGGCATGTTTGGTGTTAGGGAGAGAAACTTGGAAGGACAGGCAGTGGTAGATTTTGCAAAGAGAATGGAAATGGAAGGTGGTAAACACCTATTTCCAAAAGAAAGAAAAACACAGGGTGATGTAAAAGAGTGGAGTCAGGTCCACACAGATAGATTATATTCTATGTAGAAGAGGTAATCTGAGGGAGATTAGAGACTGTAAGGTGGTGGCAGGTGAGATTGTAGCCAAACAACATCGGATGGTAGTGTGCAAAATGACGATGGAGGTGAAATAAAGAAAAGAAAGTGAAGACAGAGCAGAAGATCAAGTGGTTGGAATTAAGGAAAGAGACATGTTGTGAAGACTTCACAACATGGAAGGGAGTAGGGGCAGTTCTAGGCTGTGTTGAGGAATTCCCAGATGATTGGGAGACTACAGCTGCAGTGATTAGGGAGACAGGTAGGAAGGTGCTAGGTACGTCCTCTGGGCAGAGAAAGGAAGACAAAGAGATCTGGTGGTGGAATGATGAGATCCAGGAGAGTGAAAGAGAAAGAGATTAGCAAAGAAGAGATTGGATAGTGACAGAACAGAAGAGAACAGACTGGAGTACAAAGAGAGGACAAGGGAGGTGAAGAGGGAAGTGGCCAAGGCCAAACAAAAGGCATATGAGGAGTTGTACGAGAGTTTGGAAACAAAGGAAGGAGAAAAGGAGTTGTATAGATTGGCGAGACAGAGAAATCAAGCTGGGAAGGATGTGCAGCAGGTGAGGTTGATTAAGGACAGAGAGGGGAATGTGATCACAAGTGAGGAAAGTGTGCTGAGAAGATGGAAGGAATACTTTGAGGAGTTGTTAAATGAGGAAAATGAAAGGGAACGTAGGAATGAGGAACCAGAAACTATTAGGAAGAAGGTAGATCAGATTAGAAAGGATGAAGTAAGAAAAGCCCTGAAGAGGATGAAGAGTGGGAGTTGGTCCTGATGACATACCAATGGAAGTATGGAAGTGTTTAGGAGAAGTGGCGGTAGATTTCCTGACTGGGTTGTTTAACAGAATTTTTTAGACTGACAAGATGCCTGATGATTGAAGGAAACATGTTCTGGTGCCAATTTATAAGAAGGGTGATG